AGGAGGATCACCATGTGTTTGAGGACAGTATAAAATAGAGACCAAAAAAAGCCCCCAAACCCAAAGGCTGAATGTGGTGGTGCATTGCATGCAATTCAGCATTGAGAAGATAGAACCGCCACAGGTTACGTAATGGTTCTATGTTAGCCTGAACTAAACTGAGACCCTGTCTCAAAAAGCAAAAAATAACCTGGTATGGAATCCCTTGTGATTCCAGCAGTTGAGAGGCAGAGGCAGACACATCTTTGTCGAGTTCCAAGCCAGCCTGATCTACATAGGGAATTCCAGGCCAGTCAGGGCTACATAGTGAGAGACCCTGCAGTTCGATTTAACACAACAAAATGCTTCCCAGTCCTCTAACCTCAACTTCAGTTGCCAACAGTTCTTTTCTCAGACTAACAGCAATGCTGCACTGTCTCCACTGTGTCTTGAGAAAAGCTCGGTAAAACCTTTAAACCTCAAAGAGCTAATTCTTTTATAGAATGTTTAGTAAAACACAAACAGTACAAAAAGAAATGTTTAGCATTTATAGATCAATAACAGATTTGACCTGTGTGGGTATCGGTGTATGTATCTATGTGGATCAAACTGGCCTTAAACTTGTGTCAGTCTTCTCAGCTCTTCCTCTCGAGTTCTGGAATTTTGTATTATAGACAGGAGCCACCACATGCTGGCTCCGTTTAATTATTTTCATAGTAATAATTTGGATTGTTATAAAGCACCTTGATGTGTAATGTAATCCTGTAGGGTTTACTATCCTATTTTGGTACTGATTTTAAAATGTTTGTTTTTGAGCCAGGTATGGTGAAACACACTATGATCCTAGCTGAGGCAAGAGGATTGGGAGTTGGAAGCCAGTATGGGATGCATATTAAGATTCTGTTTGAGGGGATGTGGTAAAAATATTTGTCCAAGGTGAAAGTAGTCCTTTTGTGTATGGGGGAAGAGGCTTTCATCATTAGTAAATTCAAACTTCTTGATACCAGGATTCCTTTTTCAATCCTAAAAGTTGTTGAGAAGATAGGGGTGGTGTCACATACCAGTAATTCCAGCCATATGGAAGGTAGAGGCAGGAGGAACTTGTTCAAGTTGGAGACTGGGCTATATTGAGATTCTTGCTTCCCTTCTCTTCCTTTCCTCTCTCTCAAGATAAAATAAGATTCAATCCATTCTCTTTTTCATACTGTTACTTTAGATCTGTTGGTTTGTCTTGCAGTTGATTTTACCCAAATATACTTTTTCTTTTTTTTCCTTCCTTCCGAGTCCTTCCTTCTGAATCCTTCTTTCCAAATTCTTCCTTCTAAATCCTCCCTCCCCCCTCCCTTTGTCCCTCCCTCCCTCCCTTCCTTCCTTCCTCCCTCCTCCTCTCCCCTTTTACCATATGTATAGCACTGGCTGGCCTCAAACTCACAAAGATCCACCTGACTCTTCCTCTGAAATGTTGGAATTAAAGGCACCACCACACTTGTTCATATGTGTTTTTTCTAGAAACATTTGGTCATTTGGTCACTTACTGGATAACTACTGTATTTTGTAGAGCTTCCAAGATACTGAAACCTAGCACCAGGCTCGCATGTACCATTAATTTGCTTTAAAAGTTGTGTTGCCCACAACTTTTTAAAAGATAAATGTTGGGGCTGGAGAGATGGCTCAGCTGTTAAGAGCATTGACTGCTCTTGCAGAGGACCCAGGTTTGATTCTCAGCACCTACATGTTGCTACAAACCACCCTTAACTCCAGTTCTAGGGGAATCCACGACATTGCACATACATGTAGGCAATACACATATAAATAATAAAATATTAAAAAAAAAATAAAAGATAAATGTTAAATGGCAGGGCGTGAGGATGTACACCTTGGGCCAGCCTAGTCTATATAGTTCCAGGTCAGCTGGGGCTACAGGGAGACCCTGTCTCAAAAAGACCA